CCGAGCTTTAATGCAGTATGAAGCCTATATACATAAGGAGAAATTCTTTGGAAGATGAACTCTAACGGAGAGTTGGTGGGTCTTCTAAAGTCCAGAGACAAAGAAAACTCAACAAACAGTTCGCCGTCACTGTATTATTTTCCTTATAAATGGCAAAGAGTAATTTTCAAGATCTAAGAGACAAAAAGAGTAAGATAATAAAAAATGATCATTCAGTCATTCACGGGGTATAAAAGTTTGACATAAACCAAGTTCTCAACCCATCCACCACCCCCCTGCCAAAGCCCAATAAAAAAAAGAGACATTCTCTTACACACAATTAGAGAAAGAAGGATAGAAAAAGAGAAAGCACGAAAACAAAGGAGTATGATTTCATAAAATGCGTATAATATTCCATACATATAAGATGTTTATAGTGGTAAAATAATGAATAGCTTTCTGTTTCCCAAATGATAGATAAAGCTGTCATTGAGGTCGCGTCAATGAGGAGCTGCACTGACATTTCTCGCGGAATCCAAACTACATTCTTTCCAAGGCCGTCCAAAGCTGTCTGTGGCCTTGCTTTCAAACTGCGGTTGTATCAAAGCAGTAGCTTCTACTTACGCCTACAGTTTGATGTAGTAAGTGATTCAAACATGGACACAGATGCGCTCATATCATCACTGTACGTTAGAACTCCCATTTAGGACAAACGTAACAAAGTCCATATTGCACATGTAGTTTTATGATAGGATACGAATGCAGTGTTATTGAAAGTCGTACACTTAACACTAATAAATAACAATGATAATGATGATGATGATGATGATGATGAAGATGATGGTGGTGATGATGATGACGATTATAGAACCGCGCGATGACACCCCCCCTCTCTCTCTCTCTCTCTCTCTCTCTCTCTCTCTCTCTCTCTCTCTCTCTCTCTCTCTCTCCCTCCCTCCCTCCCTCCCTCCCACCCTCCCTCCCTCCCTCCCTCCCTCCCTCCCTCCCTCCCTCTCTCTCTCTCTCTCTCTCTCTCTCTCTCTCTCTCTCTCTCTCTCTCTCTCTCTCTCCCTCTTCATTTGTCCAACGTGATCTAGTTTTAGACTGAAGGGTTCAGGGCGCGGCGAAATATTAGGTAAAAACGTCTCTCACGCCTTTAGCATTATTTGTGGTTCTGCCAGCCAACTCCCATGTCTCAGGCCCAGTTTGTCACAGGCCTCGACTGTGCCCTGCATGATCGGTTATCGCTGACATTTTCAAAAAGAGTTAATGAATGATTGATTGATTGTACTTAATTGAATTTTATTTTTCAATTGTGTTTAACGAAAGAACATTTATTGTTGAAATTTTACAGAGTAATTTGCTTTGATTTGCATACAAAAAGGGAAAGATATTGAAAAAAACAAGCTGAATTGACATTTTAGAGAAACTATCTCTACACCACCAATTAGAGAGTGAAGAATAAAAAAACTTAAGCTACAGCTACAGTGTTAAAGTGCTATAATTATGACTGTCATCAATACTCAAATACTTAAATGAAATTGGGACAAACTGGGCAGCCCCCCCGGTAAAGAAGGCGAAGTATTCATTCACCCTGTTACCTGTCAACCCAACAGTGTGTGTGTATGTGTGTGTGTGTGTGTGTGTGTGTGTGTGTGTGTGTGTGTGTGTGTGTGTGTGTGTGTGTGTGTGTGTGTGTGTGTGTGTGTGTGTGTGAGTGAGTGAGTCTCCCCTCTCTCTCTCTCTCTCTCTCTCTCTCTCTCTCTCTCTCTCTCTCTCTCTCTCTCTCTCTCTCTCTCTCTTTCTCTCTCTCTCTCTCTCCTCGCTTTGTGCTAAAACAAGAGTTGTGTTAAAACGTTATTCTCTCTCCATAGCTATACTAACTTTTGCAACTCGTTGACATGCTGAAGCAAAAAGGGTAGAAGCAAGTTTGGCTTGTAGTAGTAAGTTATAGTTTGTTCACTTTTGTCTGATTGCGTTAAAAAAATCTAACTCTTACTCTTATTAATTTATCTATGCCCGCAAACATTTGCATGACACTTCTGCAGGCCAGTAACCAAACAAAATATTTTTTTTAAAAGTTAATCCAGTAATTCAAAAAGTTGATTTTTTTTTCTCTTTGAGTCCTTTTCTCTTTGGATACATACACAGGATCGCTAAAATAAATGACTTACAGTAGATCTAACATTGCCTCCAAATTGCTCATTTTGAGACACCACCCTGCCTCTACATTTGTAAGCTTGAAGATTTCATCACCCTAACCTACTGTCTAGTCCAGACATCTCCACGTGCTCCGCTTTTTACTCAAAAATAACTCACCCCATCTCTTGAATCGAGTTTCTCAGGCGCTTTTGGATTCTGTTAGTTATCTAACATTTAGATCCGTATACAAAGATCTTAGAAATTAAACTGAGCGATTTCATTTTAAACCTCTTTAAACCGCGGCAGACGAAAGTTGATTCATCATAACAATGATTTTCTCAAACTAGAATCTAGTCAACAGCAAACAAAAATGGTATGGGTTTAACGTCCCTATCAACACTATTAGGTTATTTAAGGGGCGGGACCTACTAGTTTAACGCCGTCTCCGGTAGGACCAATCAAGAGGGAAGTTCGTGTAAAGTGCCTTTCCCAAGGACACAACGTCGGACCGAGCTGAGGCTTGAATACAGCAAACATGCCGAGCTTATTCACTTGCGTCTGTCCGCGTTCAAAGCATCCAGCACATTTATCTATTTACCTATGCCCACGAAACTTTGCATGGCATTTCTGCATGCCAAAGAACAAACAATGTTATATTTTTCCTTTTAATCGTAATCCAGTAACAACAAAAAATTCAACTTGGATCCAATATTAAAAAACCGTTCTTTGTGTGAATGCACAGGATCACTGAAATAAATGAGTTAAAGTAACCTTTGTCAACAAATTGCTCATTTTGAGACAGCTTCACCACCCTGCCCTTACATTCCAGTGTAAGCTTGTCGATTTCATCCCACGAATGTCTGGACGTCTCCACGTGCGTCTCGAAAAGTACTCACCCCAACTCTTGAACCATGTTACATAGTGCGTGCGTTAACGTATGGTGTTGAGGAAAATAGGTCGATTTTTGGTATACTTGTATCATGTTTTTAATCTATGTTACATGTTGGCCTACAGTTTATAAAGGTTTATACGGGGTGCCCACTACATGTTTGTTTTCAGTTTCAGGCGATCGAGTCTGGCGATCGGCCCTATCTAGCTGTAGTGGGTACCCCGTATTAGAATCATGGTGTCAAATTCGATTTCACGGGAAAAGGGGGTGAGGGCAAACTCAACCTCAAATCGCACTTTAGGTTTCGGCCCCAACTGGATGAACAATAAATGAGCAGTTGATAAATAACCCTTTTTAAAAACAATAATATTGTTATTATTAATAATAATAATAATAACAGGCAAATCAATAATAACATATGAAGAAATACCACTTTTGCGTTTTTTCGTATTCTTTTCTTGTCCTCTTGTCTTTTTCGTTTTCTTATTATTGTTTTTGCTTTTGTTTGGGGGGGGGGGGGGTTGGAGGGGGGTGGTTGAGGGAGGGGTGTTTCGGGAGGGGGGGTTGTTGGTTGTTTTGTTGTTGTTGTTGTTGTTGTTGTTGTTGTTGTTTTAGGAAGGGTGACATTTAGAGCCTGCTGAAACAACCCTAAATAATCAAACAGTTCAGACTCAAAGTTGAACGGGATATCTAAAGAATCGACCCAGATCATGCCAAAAGGTGATTCAAAATTTCCTGCTGCGTTTTCTAGCTTGTCAGGTGAGAAGAGTTCAACGCCTGGAGCATACTAAGAATAATAATAATGAAGGACGTTTATATAGCGCTCAACCCCGATTAAAGTACACAGGCTCTGAGCGCTTTACAGTACAGTACAACTTACAAGAGTAACATATAACGTTGTGTTCTGACTAAAAGAAAATCACTCCAAATATTAATCTTATTAATTTAAAAACAAAAACGACTTCAGCTGACATTTGAATGAATCGAAAGATTTGATCTCTCTTAAAGTAAACTCGCACAAAAAAAGCCAAGGAACAAAAATTCAAAGAAAGATAACTGAAGAACAGTGTAACCGAATTTATTCATTTTTTCAAAAAGGATGCTTTCGACTGTGTACAATTTCAGATTTCAACAACAACGAGAAGTTCATGTAAAATTAGTTTAAATCACACTGATCGGATTTCAAAAGTCTGAACAGCCATGGTTCTTTATGAACATTGTCAATAGTGGGTGTAGTCACCCCGTTTGACCAAACACTCAGTACAGCGTCGATGCATGGACAGGACATGCCTTCAGAGAACTTGTTGCGGTAGGTTCTGCCACTCCTGGACGAGGCAGCTCAAGAGTTGTTGAAGGTTTTGTGCAGAAGGGTGGTTGTCCCTTATCCACCGGTCAACGTGATCCCAAATGTTCTCTATTGGGTTCAAATCCGGACTACAAGCTGGTCAGTCCATGCGGTGACAGCTTGCTGCTGCAGGAAGTCCCCACGATGTGTGCTCGATGTGGCGGGGCGTTGTCGTCCTGAAGAACAGCCTGGGGTCCAATCTGCTTCAGGAGCAGAACAGCAAGGGGACGCAGGATTTCCTCCCTGTACTTTGCCGCGGTCAAATTGCCCTTTATATGGTACAGTGGGATCTTGTTGTGGACTGAGAAGCCCCCCACATCAGAACGAACCTTCCACCGTAAGGCGCCACCTGCTGGATACACTCAGGGTGGAACAGCTCTCCTTGGTGTCTCCAGATGTGGGCACGCCTGTCTGGGTACAAACAAGTTGAATCTAGATTCATCCTAGAAGACTACCTGGTACCACTGACGTCGTGTTCTCTGAGATTGGAGAGCAGACCACCACATCCGGCGAACTGCTTTGTGGGGCAGCGAGTGCCTTGGGCGCCTGGCAGGGACATGAGAAGCGAACCTGGCTCTATGGATACGGTTCCTTACCGTCTCCTCGCTCTCGTGAACATTTGCTGTCACCCTTAGTTGGTCCCTGATGCCGTTTACAGTGGTGGTTTGTGACGTCACGGCCTGTCTGATGATGAACCGGTCGATGCTGTCGTTGGTCAAACGGCGCAGCCCAGGTCGAGGTCTGTCCTGGACCCTTCCGGTTGCTCGCCATCGTTCTTGCAGCCTCTATATGACTGATGGGGACACCCCAAGTCGATGTGCAACGACTGGGAACTTGGAGCTATCTTGGAGCCAGGCAAGGGCTCGTCCTCTGTCGAAGTCAGTCAGCGAGCGTTGTTCGACCATCGTGTTGGCTGAAAAACGCTGGCTTATAAAGGGTTAAAAGTGAGCAATATTCACCGCTGGGACATCTGTTTAGCACGTGCCAAGCTTAGTTTTAGCCAACAGTCCCTATGCCAATGTTGCTGAAGCAGAGAAATTTAGCCCATTTTTCATGCTTTTTGGCTGTGTTTCAGAATGCCCTGCGCCGTCGCTGTACAGGCGAATTGTGTCTAGTCTTCAGTGCGTGTGCCAAGTTTGGTTGACTGAACTGAACGGGTTTGCGAGATATTGAAGTTCAAATTTGACAGGTGAAAACACAAGTTGTTCCTTGACTTTTGGGGGCAAGTTTGCTTGGTAAAGCATTCCAGATCTTAGGGCCTTGGTATTCAAATGCCCTTTTACCCATTGTTTTAAGTTTCATAGATGGTAAAATAAATTTCTTTTTGTCAGCTGATGACCTTAAACTGCGAATTGGAATGTACAGTCTTAACAGATTCTGAAATATCCATCGCCTTCCCTGTTTGTTTGTTTTGGTGTTTGTTTGTTTTTTGGCAATATCAATTCTCTTTGAATTTCGTTCTTACTCCGAGGCACGAATGCAAAAGAAGTTGAAAAGTTTTGCGTTTCACTCAATATTGTTTTTGAATTTTTCAAAACTTTCTGAAGATTTACTGTTTTTCTAACACAGGAATGTGGTTGAATTTCATGCATTGGATGTACTGTTGAAATTGGTCAAAAGATGACCCACTAATTGTCCTCGAAATGGGTCGTCGTATGTTTTAGACACCCAGTAAAAAGTACAACCAAAGGAAAGAGAAGTAAACACTGCACTTAAAAATAAACTCGGGGGCTCTCGTGGCCAAGATGTTAAGGTGTTGGCCTCTCATTCAAAGGTCTCAGGCTCGAATCCAGGTAGCGACTGAAAAATTTTCTTCTCTAAAATTGTCTCCTTTTAGCTCCTTTCCTCCTCTCAAGCAATATTCTGTCGTCTGCTTTTGTCTCCACTTTCTACCCCCACCCCCTCACCTCCTTTGCCCCCTCCTCTGGGCTCCTGACTCTTTCTGCAGCCTTTCTACAGCTACTCCTTGGCTCCTTCTTACTGTTGTCTTTCAGCCGCACCCCTGATCTTCGGGTAGGAAATATCTACACCTAGCCTTCTCGGACAAGGGTTAAAAATTTCGAAGGTCCTGGTTGCAAGTTGCGCACGTTAAACATCCCTTGGTGGTCTAAAATCGATAAGAGTAGGCTTCGACCGCCACTCGGGCAAAATTCAAAATTTCCTACCAAATCAGAAGACCTTATGCAGTTACGAGCGCCGTAAAACACTTACAATAACAAACAAACAAAAAATAAATTCACCACACTCCGGAAAAGGATATATTTCTGAAAAAATGTAAAAGAGAGGTTCTTTTGTTATTTCTGGTGTAGAGAGAGAGACAACAATAGAGAGCGAGAGCGAGAGAGAGAGAGAGAGAGAGAGAGAGAGAGAGAGAGAGAGAGAGAGAGAGAGAGAGAGAGAGACCTGTATTAGACAACCACCTTTACAAACACCCCCTTCCTATTTCCCCTCTTGCATAATATTTTTTACATTATAACGGCGTAGTGTGGGTTTTGTTTTGCTTTGTTTTGTTTTGGTTTGGTTTGTTTTTCTTTGGAGTTAATTTTTAAAGCTCAAAAAAATTATTTGAGCATGATAATATTAATAGCGCCTAGTCCTGTGTATACACAGTTCTAGGCACTGGCTATTGAATCCTTCTCGGGCCGTGTTGGCCCTTGTAGGTCGAAAATTGGAGCACCCTGCCCCTTAAAATATCTCAGATAATTAAACTGGGGCGTAAAACATTATTTTTATACCGTTACAGTTACATGCGTACAACTATTACAATAGTACTAGTTCACATTTTTGGAGTACTGTTGTGGGTGGTTGGCAGAGGCACTTTTGTGGTTTGCTCTTTCTTTCCTATCAAATATTTATCGTACTCATCTACGCTCCTTCGTATTTTGTGTTTGTTACTCTATTGCATCACCTCCAATCTTCGCCATTTATATGACCTTATTGTGTTGCAAGGGCCGTAAAACTCTTACTAAAAATAAAGGGGGACTGTCGTGTCTCTTCTGGTCAACCATAAACACCTATTAAAGGAAGTAAAGAGACAACTTATCAACAGTATATTCCTTCCAACGCTGACTTACCAATGCAATGTTTTACGACCCTTGCTACACAATTAGGCATAATATAACAAACTGCAAAAAAAAAGGAGGGGAGATAAGGACAATAGATGTTTGATAGGAAAGAGGGAGCAAACCATACCAGAACACCCGCCAACCAACCATGATTACCAATGCTAAACACGGCACAAAAAGAAGATCATTTCCTGTGAGATGAAATACTCAAGAAAGTTAATAAACGTAACAGACTGTAAAAGTAACGAAAATGTTCGAAATGTAACAGGGATGAAACTGGTCATAGAACATGATATAGAACATCGAAGGATCAAGTGGTTCGGTCATCTGATGTGAATACCCCCAAATCAACCAGCTGCACGAGCTTGCTACTCAAAAGAGTCAACGTACAAAGGTGTGGGACAGACCACGCAAAAAGAGGTACTCCAAATGAATTACGTATCAAAAACAGAAGCCACCTACTTATCCTTTGACCGAAAAAACACCACCCCTTGATATTTAACAACATAAGAGGAAGGATGAAGCAATGCAAAGCAAGCAAAGTAAAAACAAAGTGAAGCAAAACAAAGCAAAGTAAGACAGAGCAGAACCGAACACAGCATTGCGGAACAGAGCAGCGTAATGGAAAATATAAAATACCGTAAAGTAAAGTAAAGCAAGGCAAAGCAAATGAAAACACAGCAAAACAAAGAAGAGCAGAGCAATGTAAAGTAACGCATAGCAAACCAAAGCAAAGCAAAGCAGGACAGAGCAGCACCGAACACAGCAGAACAGAACAGAGCAATGCAAAGTACGGTAAAGTTAAGCAAAGCAAGGCAAAGCAAAAGAAAATACAGCAGAACAGGGGAGAAGAGAGTACTGTAAAGTAACGCATAGCAAAGCAAAGCAAAACAAAGCAAGTCGTCCTTTTCGGCTCTGATCTCCCAAGTAGCCCGCCTCTCGAAAACGTAATATCTACCACTATTTGTACTCAATTATTACTATTAATAAAAAGTAATTAGTCCAAGTTTAATCACAGACTACTCAGAACGAAAACTACTGACAAAAGGTCAGGTAAGGTCACACAGGTGGGAGATTAAAGGCCCTGTTCCCTGGCCTCTCATTTGAAGAAGCATGTTACTATTTTTAGTTAAAACTAGACGCTATCTAAGCTGATCTAGGCTAATTATTCTGTTTTTCCCATTGACACTATACATAGCACGCACTGTGACATACTTTTTGACGTTTCCTATAGTGCGGTCAAAAGTTTAGTGGCGCAACTTAGTGTCAGATATCTCTTTAACTATAGAACATAGATTCTCCAACTTTTGCAAAATTATGACTTATATCAATTTGTCTTAACAGATGACTATTTTTTCAAACACGTGTACACTGTATTCTAGAACATTCCTTAATAACTACTAATGAAAAATCCCAGTCGATTTTCTTACAGATTTTAAAAAGTTTACAGCAGCGACAATATCGATTTTAAAAACAAATCCGCCATTTTTTTCTTACCGCGACATTATTCTTATTGGACACATCTTTTGAGAATCTTTCGTGCAAAAAATGTGTTAACTTTAAAATGAATTTCTTATAACAAGTTTTTCCTGAGCTGTGACGTAGGCCATATGCATACACAAAATGTGTGTGAGAAGTGGGAAGTGTTGTAAAAAATCATGTTTTCCTCGCGGCAGAGATTTACAGTGTTTTATATAATGAATGAAGAAAAGATTTTTAATCTTGCCTTAATTGTTGTGAAAAAATATGATTAAGTTAGACAAATTGATCCAAAATGCTGTGCAAAATATGGGTGGCGGTTGTTCAGAGATATTTGAGGATAAGTTGCGTCGCACATTTTTGACCGGGGGTTCTTGTGGTCAAGAGGTTACAGTGTCTGCTTCTCATTCAATAGATCCCGGGTTCGAATCCCAACAGCGACGAAAAAATTATGTTTTTCTCTAAACTTTTCTCCCTACCAACTGAAAAAGTTTAATGTTTCCAGCGCGCTCATATGACATTATGCACTTGCGAGTACCATAAAACACTTGAAAAAGAAAATAATTTTTTTACGCTATAAAATGGATTTTGTCGGCCAGCTGTTAAAATGTAGGTAGTAGCCTACTAAACCTAAAATTTGGAAAAACTTGGTTTATTGCACATTCTTAATATGTGGTAACGTCTATTTGCTAAAGAAGTAATATTTTGTCGAAATTCAAATTCTGAAGGTGACGGGGGGAAAGAGAATTTAAAAAGCAACAGTTATTGTTAAAAAGCTGTTGTAATGTTGTTGCTGTTGTTGTTGTTGCTGTTGTTGTTGTTGTTCTTCTTCTTCTTCTTCTTCTTCTTCTTCTTCTTCTTCTTCTTCTTCTTCTTCTTCTTCTTCTTCTTCTTCTTCTTCTTCTTCTTCTTCTTCTTCTTCTTCTTCTTCTTCTTCTTCTTCTTGTTGTTGTTGTTGTTGTTGTTGTTGTTGTTGTTCTTGTCGTTATTGTTGTTGTTGGTGGTGGTGGTGGTGGTGGTGGTGGTGGTGTTTCCTTGGGGGTGGGTGGGGGAGCGGGGGTTCTCTACTGTAAAATGTTCTTTCTAGGCTTAATGGGTTTTAACAGTTTGCTCCGGCTCTCGTGGCCAAGAGTTTAAGGTGTTGGCCTCTCATTCAAAGGTCCCAGGTTCGCATCCGGGTAGCGACCGAAACATTATATTCTCTAAAATGTTCTCCTTTCAACTCTTTTCCTGCTCTCTAGCAATGTTCTGTCGTCTGCTTCCGTCTCTTTTTTTGTGCCCCCAACCCCTCACCTCATTTGCCCCCTCCTCTGGGCTCCTGACTCTTTCTGCAGCTTTTCTACTGCTACTCCTTAGCTCCTTCTTACTGCTGTCTTTCTGCCACACCCCTGATCTTCTGGTAGGAAATATCTACACCTAGCCTTCTCGGACAAGGGCGAAAAATCTCGGAGAGCACGTGTGCAAGTTGCGCACGTTAAAGATCCCTTTGTAGTCTAAAATCGATAAGAGTAGGCTTCGGCCGCCATCCGGCTAAATTCAAAATTTCCTACCTACTGAAAATATTAGGTGCGTCCCGTGCTGCATGTGTTG